TGTTGTCACCTTTATTATCGATATTATTACCCTATTATTACTAAGTAGGCCTAGTATTATAAGTATCATTATTATTATTATTACTAATTAGTATTACTATTATTATAAAAATAAACATTATCTTTAATTTATTATTGTATTATTGCTATTATCACCTTCAATATCGTTATTATCACTAATTAGTTATTAAAATTGATATTTAAATATCTTTATTATTACCATACTAATATTATTAGTATTGTTAAAATAAATATTACTATTAATGTTGTGTTGTTGTTGTTATCACCTTTATTATCGTCATAATGACTAATTAGTATTATTAAAGTAAATATTACTAATTTATTGTCGTTATTGTTGTTTAATATTATTGTTGAATTAGAATGTTGTGAGTAAACAGAAGACGAACACATTAATAAATAACTCTTTTTAATTCATAGGCAATAGCATTCAAATCTCTTTTGGTAGTGTGGTGGTCCTGTTTTACTAAAATATACTCGTACTTTATTTCAATCATATATTGAAGAAAAAGGATGCAAAACTGAGATTTACATTAAAGAACTTGTGGCCGAGTTGGCTGTAGCCGAACTTTTTGTGGCCGAGTTGATTTGTGGCCGAGTTGACTTGTAGCCTAGTTGAATTGTGGCCGAGTTGACTTGTGGCCGAGTTGAGTGTAGCCAAACTTTTTGTGGCCGAGTTAACTTGTGGCCGAGTTGACTGTGGCCGAGTTGACTTGTGGCCGAGTTGGATCGAATTCGGCCGAATACCCTTAGGCCTACCTCAAGAATACGGAAACTGCCGTTAGAATTGTTGTGGACATGCTGTAATACCCATGGCTCGAATGCCGTAGAGAAAATAGTTTTTCTTGCTGGCGAAAAGAATTTTTTCTAGCCCTATGCTGATACGTACGTAGATATTCTCTATGGCGAAAATAGATCTCAAGCATTGAATAAGTTATTAGGCAAGGGCTGCAACTTTCTAGTTGAATATTCATGAGTATAGCGCGCCCTCTATTGACTTCTGCCTTAAATGACGAGGAAAAAAAATTCGCGTGTGGCCCTATACCCAAGTACGGACTTGTTTACCTGCTAGCGAACGTCTTTTTGTACGCCGCCTGAGTGTGTATGAACTGACAGAAGTACCTAAAATCAAGGGAGTCCCTGGTCGATGCTAAACAAAATAGTCGGTTGGGTACTGCTTGGACGTCGTTCAGTAGGCCTAGTACTGTGATTTTACGAATCGATGAACAAATTTTCGTTTAAATTTCCGATGTGAGTCGCAGCGGGAGTCGTAGGCCACCATCAGTTTCTAGAAGCGCGATCACTATCCTGTGCAGCTGCGGTAAAAACTTAGGCCTGTGTAGAATTTTCTTGGGGTTTAGAGGGATGGGGTGAGGGTTGGGGTGGTGGGGATTAAACATGACAGGGGAATTGTGATTCCATTTGTATTACACAGAAAATATTCCAGGAGCATAACTCATACTTTAGGCCTAATAGAAAAAAGGCATTGATTTTTAACTTCTTTTTTTCGGGAGGTGTAAAGCTGGTCATAAAGTAATTTTGATAAATTTTATTGAACTTCCAATTGTCTAATTAAAACACAATGAAAAGCATTTGCAAAGTATGAGATGGTGCGAGATTTCCTGGCATCTATAGTAGGTGTACTATTCTTGCAGCCAATATCTGCCAATGGAACACATATCAAGAGTTTTAACTTACAAATACACCTTATTATTTTTGGACAATGTTTAAAATGGCTTTGATACAAGAAGAATTGAAAAACTATCATAATAAGCTTTCGATGGACCTGTTTGTTCCAACATTAATAGATAAAATAGAAAATTTCATATCGTTCTAAAAATCCCAAGATTTTATGAAAAGTTAACAAAAAATCCCAAGATCCCAAGGTGTCATTCCAAACAATTCACCGTCATCCGGACGCGAGCCTCGAGCCGTGATTCAAGCGTGTAGCAAATGAATATTCATATAGCGTGTGGTAATCATGGTAGTGTGGTAGCATTCGTGATAGGGTGTTGACCTAGACGCGATTTTGCCGTCTGGGATAATTTGGCGGTCGAGCCTTAGTATTTTACATCATTATTAATATTATCTCCTTGATCATTATATTTTAGTTTTTTATATTATTATTGTTATGATACATTTTTGATGCAGAAGGCAGGCCCGTATCTGGGGAGGGGGTGGTGGTTTATGGTTCGGGAGAAGAACTCTTTTTTAGCAAACTCCCCTCATTTCTGGCGAAACCCCCTCTTTAAATTTCCCAAATAAGTCCTCCAACCCAACTAATGCACTGCAGACCCACCCAGTCACAGACATTTTCAAACATATCTGCTTTTAGGGCATTATTTAGACCCATAAAGCACAACAATCCTCTTGCTTTGGGGGTTTCGCCGACCCCACTGGGGTATTGACTGTGGACCTCACGCCCAAAATCCCACCCCCCTTTTGAAGAACCTGGCTACGGGCCTGAGAAGTTATGCGGTACCAAGCGTTGAGTGTAAAAGTAATTTGGTTGACTAGTTGAAAGTGAGTAGACACCATGCTATTACATAGAATGAATGAGATGAGTTTTACATTCATTTTAAATGAAACCAAAGTAGGCGAGTTTATGTCCGATTGGTTTAGGTCTTTCATGAGATATTGTTTATAATATTATATTAATTATATACATACCTGGGCAAGAGGTTTCTGATGCCAAATAATACTGACTTGCACATGATGTACACTTACATTTGCGAGGATTTAGGACAAACGATAGAGACTGACAGTTGGCAACGTTACAATCTGTATATATAATAATAATAATAATAATAATATGTCGCTCTTATATAGCGCTTCATGCACAATGCCTCTAAGCGCTTCACATTACTACCCCGGTCATTGGATCAAACACATATGGAACACATACTCAGCTCCCTGGGGAGAATTCCNTTCCATAATATTGCAGCTAGTAATCAGCGCAGTTGTGTTCGAACCTACCAGGTACCCACTTGTACTCCTGGGTGGAGAGAGGCAACCGTTGTAGATAAAGTGCCTTGCCCAAGGACACAAGCGATTTTTCACAACGAGAGTTTCGAACCCCCGACCTCGAGGTTGGGAGTCCAAGCCACAACCGATGCGCCAACCGCTTCCACTAAATATAAAAAAACTAATATATACAACGTTAAAAATATAAACATGATGATGTCAGTAAGTTTCAAAAATTAGTATGCTGTTTAAGTAAATGTAATATACAAAAACTATAGAAAATAAAAGAAATAAGAGAAGTTTTTACACTAGAACGATTCGCTAACGGTTTATCAGTTATGCGATAACAACATATTTGACAAATCAAATCAGATGATGTCATAATCCTGGAAAAACATTAAAATCGTAGTAGTAGCAACGATTTTATCGTTTTTCTGTGATTATGACGTCATCTGATTTGATTTGTTAAAATATTTTGTTATCTTATACACGATAAATCGTTATCGAAGCGTCCTAGTGTAAAATCGTATCTTATTTCTTTTGTTTTCTATATGAACAATCGCTTTTTAGCTTTTTAATCGTTATCGTTGAAGTGTAAACAGGCCTTTACACTCTCTTCTCACGACCACTCCCATCCTAATCAGGGCAAATGCTGGATCAGCATCACGTATGAAAGCCCCATTATTAAGGTTACTGTTGTCATACTTTGACATCTCTTTGTTGATTTTAAAGAAAACAATGGACATTCAAAAAGCATCAACTGATAACCATTTAAATTTTATTGACAGTGTTCCATTATGTAAAGTACATAATGTAACGTATTTTGCATACGGTTTTCGGCTAATAATAAGGACAGTATCACCCAACTTAATTGTAAAACTAAACGTTTATTATATAACCTAATTCCCTATTACATCAAACCTATAAGCCAACAACAAACTTAACATGCCCCTCTCCCCAATCTTTATCTCATTTTCAGTTGCTCAAATTATTGGTTGTAATATTTATTGTTTTTTCAATTTTAAATTGTTAATCTTAATGTTTTTTTTCTTATGTTTAAACGTTTTAACTGTCTTTTTATAGGTGAATTTTTATAATGACTTTTAATATCATATTGTAAATAACATGCAATATTATTAGCGCCCATAACACTAATGGTGTAATGACGATGTGGCCCGTTTTATTACTCGCACGCCACCTGACCATAATTTGACTCGCGCACGGCTATCAGGTGTGCATACTCACAATATGTTTTGCATATGTAACCATCGTATGCATTGTCACTGCATTCTTCGTCGTTCCAACGATGATTGCTTTTTCTTATTTGTGCACAGTCAGGATCAGTCCAACGGCCATCTAGACTTGGTTGTCCGGAGTCCCAATTACTTATAAAGATGAAAACAATGTGTTTACTATACTATTTGACTACCGTAAAACTTCCAATACCAATGGACTTAATCTCGAGAAGAAGCCCCTCTCTTCAGTTTACAAAGTATACTCGAAAAGAAGCACATCTCGAAAAGAACCAATGGGCTTCCATTCAAGATAGTATGAGCTGCTTTTCGAGATAGTTTACATCATGGACCTATTATTAGGAATTTCGAAGAAATATAAATAAAAAATTTAAAAACATTTGGCTTATAGTTTATGTAAATTCATTTAATTCTTCTTTCTCTGCATTCCCCAATAGGGTAAGCTACTATACTCAGTTAATTATATACCATTATACTATGTGATGCAGACTGACGTTAATCTTAGACGATTATGATAGCGTGTCAGTATCAATTATTACATTTCATTGTAGTATGGTTATAATTGAAAAGCTCCCGCACGATTAAAATCGAAAGGGTACGTAGTTTGTCCAACAGGATTTCATGCATTCCATTTGTAGAAGCCGCTTAATGGAGAAAGTGTAATTTTATATAAGTATTATAATTTACACACGTATAATCACATAGGCCCATCATTTGCTATTTTATCAAAAAGCTTGATTTTTATTACATAATTTATTGGGCCTACTGTGCTTAAATATTTTATTGCCCAACAGAGTGTCATCGGGATATTTAAATTATCCTTTTAAGTTAAAAATGATGTTTTTAATAAATATCGAATTCAATGTTTTAGTATCCGAAGAGGATATCTTAAAGGAGTCCTTTAAGGCCAACTCAGACATCGTCGTACCACGCAGCTCGACGCGATTTGTTGTCGGGTCTGTGTGAGTTCAACGCAGACGAGATGGTTTGCGTCGGGGGAAGTGGCATTCTAATTCAAAAACTCAGACCTTGTGTTCAATTTAGAAAAAAAGTTCAATCAAATGTATTTTTCAGCTGATACTTAATGTACGTTTCCTAAATTTTGACATTTTGACCCACAAATTCTACTCTTACAAAATATTTTAAAGCCGCTACAGTTCTAACTAACAGCAGGGTGCAAAACACTGATTTTAGCTGAGAGATGTGTATAAGAGACAGGTCATGAGCCATTGTATCTTTATTCTATATATTTATGGAAATATAGTTTATTTTTCGAAAAAAAACTATTACTTCAAATTTTATTTCACATTCAACAGAAGGAACTCAATACAAGATCGAATGGTGCAAAATGAGTCGTAGATGGTGCAGTTGTTTGCTTATATAAAACAATCTTGGTGTCACATGATTCGAGTTTAAGAAATAGGTTTTTTAAACAATTAACCTTCAAGGTTCAGATCTACTTAATTCTAATTGATTAATGCTACTGGTAATTACATTTTCTCCTGATGAATGTATAGAAGCTAAATCTACGCCGGATCCCTGTCCCGTGCAGCCACCTCTAGCTGGACCCCAGTGAACACGTGAGGTGAACTCTTTGTAGCAATAAGTGCCATAGTTTGTCCAGCCAGTAGGACAAACGGCTAAGCAATCTAAAAAGAGCATTAAAATTGACTGTGGGTATGAGTAAAACTATAAAAGATCATACAGGTTCTTTATCTGGCTGTATGTATTATTTTAATAAAAACAATAAAAAGTATTGAAGCTTAAATTGTTATATTCTACAATAGATACCATAAGGTCAAGTATAACTTACCAACGTGTGATACTCCGTAGGTTATTATAAAAACAAGCACTAATATGTTTAATTGCATCATTAAATAAGCAACTTCGCCTTTAAATTAGTTCAACTGTGAGTTAAAGGCTAAGCTGTAATATATATTACGGAAAATTGTTTATCACTAACGAACGATCGCTTGCGACGGGCCAAAGGTTACAGTTAATGACTTGCTGGACCACAGATGAAGCCTTATCATACAATTTGTAATAACTTTATAGGTTACGTATGTGAATATTGCTTAGGTATTACCTCAAGTGGTACTATCAGAAATAGTACAGCACAATGTAAAAAGGCTAAATAAGCATGTTTTATCAATAAGCCGATTGTAATTGTTAGGGGGCAGATCTAGAATTTATTCAAACGGGGGGAAAGGGGTGGGGATGCAAACCATTTTCAGAACACTAGATAGGATTCAAGATCTTCGAGATTCAAGATTGATTTTATTGTAACATATAAGAAGATATACATGAAAGTTTTATTCCTGTGCATATACAATAAAAAATTTACATAGGCCCTAAACATAACAGGAATTATAAATATAAATATGACTATAAAACTAAATGGAAAGACAGTGAAATGAACTTTAAAACCAACTACAATACCTTACCTAAGACAGTGAGATTATCTGGAGAAGTGATTGTTGTAGAGCTGGCATGCGTATGGTATGAATGATTTCTTTGAACTGGTTTGTTTTGACAGTAGTTTGTCGAATTCTTTCTGAATGACCATAGAGATAGCGATTCTTTCCCTATATTAAACATATTTAGATTCCAAAGAAAATATAGGCGTTGGGTTTAACTTGGAACATAGACATATTATTAATATAGTCTGTTGTCTTATGTCATATTTTTTAACTTTGTCAATTTTTTGGGTAGATTCTTGGTAAACCTGTCTAAACCTATTTAAAAAATTCACTGATTAAGAAGAAAATGGGTGCCAGTTTTTTTATTCACTTCTAGGGCCTCTATTTTGAATTTCAAAATGGCCGCTGCCGAAAATTTGTTTTTAACAAAAAAAAAATGCAATTCGATCATCGTTATTCATTTTTATATCATACAATAGTCATTTTATTTTATCTGATATCATATAATGGGATCAGTGATGCATTGGGAAAAAAAATAAGAGCACAAGAAATAAACCCCCTCCCAGAAATCTTGCTCCCCACACACCTCCCACTGGATATTCTTTTGCAAAAAAAAAGTTATTCTTAAGTATTCACAAAATTGCTACATATCACCATATTTTGCCATCTGAATCTCCCTAACTTAATCACTGAGCACTGACACTTAGCCTTCACCCCTTAATTCCCCCTGCCCCACCACCACGTCCCGGGTCAGGCCCCTCCCCAAACTTCTTAGAAAATTAAAAATGGAGTTAAAAGAGGAACGTTATATTTAAATTGAGGCGTAAGACTGTGATTGCCATTGCCATTGCCATCTAGTTGCCATAGCCACAACATTTTGTTCCTCGGTTTCCACAATGTTGGACAGGGGCAGATTTAGGGAGGGGAACCTTCCCCTTGTTTTGCCACTGTCGTCTTTTTGTTTTTGTTAATAGTGAAAATACAAAATCGCATACAAATGCTAAGTGTAACAGCATGTACTGAACATCAATCATGCCATTAGGTCTAATAGACATATATATGTATAATAATAATGCTGAGGCATTCTAATTCAAAAACTCAGACCTTGTGTTCAATTTAGAAAAAAAGTTCAATCAAATGTATTTTTCAGCTGATACTTAATGTACGTTTCCTAAATTTTGACATTTTGACCCACAAATTCTACTCTTACAAAATATTTTAAAGCCGCTACAGTTCAAACTAACAGCAGGGTGCAAAACACTGATTTTAGCTGAGCAAAACCATCTCAGCCTTTTTTGACTGAGACAGTTTGTGGTCTTGTGGTCTGCAGCAGCGCCATGTAGTGGCCTGCCTTTTGTTTGGTTCTGGTGTGTAAAAATGACCTCCTAAAGGACTCCGAAATTAGGAGTATATCGGAGTGAAAAGAAAGGTCTAACAATTTGCAGTGTTTGTTGAGATGATCCATTACTTGACAGACCTTTCCTTCTTGAGATCTGTAATGCAGGGGCGGATCCAGAAATGTCCAAAAGGGGGGCCGGAAGCGGGGGCCGAAAGTTGGGCCGATTGAGACAACACTGTCGTAGGGGGTCTGGGGCATGCCCCCGCGAAATTTTTGTGTTCTAGATGCCCGAACATAACATTTGAGGCATTCTGGGCTATCATTTTTTTCTTTTTCTCTCTTCTTTTTCTTTTTTTACCTCCCAAAAGGGGGGGGGCCGGGGCCGGGCCGGCCCCCCCCCCCTAAATCCGCCCCTGTAATGGACAGTGTAGTAGAAATCACTAACTGAATGGTGTTAACATATCTGCCTAAGTTGATGTTGCACTTAATACTTTCCATAATGTCACCTTGTCCTCTGCAAACCAAAAACTCTCAGATCTGATCTGATCTTCCAGTTAAGAATTGCTTCATCAACTGGGGGACTCAAGATTAGGTACTACGATATTTCATCATACTGGATCATATTCTAACACTTCTTCAACAAAACAATGCAATGGTTATTAAGACACCGTATCATGTAAACCCTATTAAGGTTAGCAGGGACTGAATGGGATGAATACTACAACAGTCCGAACATCACCAGCAGTGTCTGTCATGCAGTACTCTGGTGCATGTTATACACTGCTCCATGGAGTCACAGTTTTAATTTACAAAAAAGTTTTTAAGACGGTGTCTTAATAACCATTGCATTGTTTTGTTGAAGAAGTGTTAGAATATGATCCAGTATGATGCAAAAGTAAAATATCGTAGTACCTAATCTTGAGTCCCCCTGAAAAATGAAATAAGTGTTGTTAGGTGCGAATGACAAAACCAGTTAAACACATTCGAAACACTGGTACTGTTCCTGCAAACCTGAGATAAAATGTCCATACAATTAACCTCGCAAACAAAAACAGTAAATCATGGTAGTTTAAATCTTCCACCTACATCTTTCAAGAAACAGATAATTCCAGTTAATCATTATGCTACAAAAGCTCTGTTACAGCACCCCGAACCAACCAACTTGGATCGTAGACTGATGGTCTAAGCAATTAACTTTGTACAATAAGCAGTTTGTTGACTGCCATTTCAGTAACCAAAAGGTTGTAAACTTGGAAAAAAGACTTGGGTTAACCTCAACAGACTTGGTTTAGAATATCCACCAAATTGAGAGCGTGAAGAGCCATGGAGCAAATCAGCAAACAACATAAATGA